AGGGCCGGTGTTTCAGAGTACAGACCTTGTTCTGATCATGCGCTCTCTCCCAGAAGCTGTATGAAATTAATGTTCGCTATGCGGGTGTTGAAGAAACACAAATGTGTCGGAGAAGACGCCTGCACCAGGGATTAACTAGCCGCCCTATCAAACGAACATACGAACATACTCGGAAACAAGTGGTTAGCCATTACTTAATTAATTGCACACACACACACACACACACACACACACACACACACACACACACATATATATATATATATATATATATATATATATATATATATATATATGTGTGTGTGTGTGTAAACACGTGCAGCATAATAAATCCTATATTGCCTTCAGAGGACCAAATGCGTCAAGTATATCTCTCCTTTTTGTAATCATTTCACCCCAAGCAAGGCGGGAATACCACTGATACGCAGTGGATTACAGGGAATAAAAAGTGAGAGAAAAGACTGGGTATAGTGGGGACCTAGGAAAGGATAAAAACTGAACGGAGTTCAAGAAGATAGAAGATGGCGATTGACGTTGCATTTAAATGTTTGAAGATTGCAATTATCAGGGAGGCAAGGAAACGGAAGCGAGTTCCAAAGGTGGGAAGTGCAAGGAAGGAAATTATTGGAGTAGAAGTGGCAGCTACATTTAACTAAGTATATGGTGAGACCTAAATGCCAATCTAGTAGCACGCTTAAACTCACTTTGTCTCTTATACAGATACACTCCATCTGAGAATATTAACTCACACACACACACACACACACACACACACACACACACACACACATATATATATATATATATATATATATATATATATATATATATTGCATATATTTTGGCATCATGTTTTCATTAAAACATGTCTCATTAAATAATGTTTAAATCATGTTTTCATTAAGACATGTCTCATTTTAGTTTTGTCTACTTATATTTAATATGATCCTCTCCTATTCACGGACAAGCTTCTTGGTATCCTTATTAAAGGAAGAAAGAAAGTTACCATATTGATGCATATTCCTTTATTCCGAGTACTTTCGACATTGGCAAAATGTCATCTTCAGGGTCATGGTTTTACTAATGATGAAAGTACTCAGAATAAATGAATATGTCTCAATATGGTGACATTTTTCTTCCTTTAATAAGGCTTGTCCGTGAATATGAGAGGATCATATTAAATATTAGTAGACAAAATCCAAACCACACGTCCTTACATGGAATATTGCTGTCATATATGGTCTGGTGCCTCCGCTTTAAGTCTCGAGGTCCTCTACAAAATCCAGAGACGGATATGCAATATGATAGGTCCTGATCTGGCATCTAGTCTACAATCACTCTCCCACAGACATGCCATGGCTTCCCTCTGTCTCTTCTATAAGTATTTTCACGGCAACTGTTCCAACGAGTTGCTTTCTCTAGTTCCCAGACTGGATGAATTTAAGCGAGCTACTAGGTTGACATCTCGGTCCCACCCTTTCACTGTTGAAACGCTTAAATGTAACCGTCTCTTCTACTCAAACAGCTTCTTCTCTCGCACTTCCCATCTGTGGAATTCTCTTCCTCTTACTTGCTTCCTTGATAACTATAATCTTCAAATGCAAATATCAATCGACATCTTCTGATAACTTGATCTTCTCCCCCTCTCCCCTCTTTATCCTCTCCCCAAACACGCCTCTTTACTCTTGTTCTCTATCCTCTGTAACTCCTTGTAAACAAGTAGCACTCCTGCCTTGCTTGGGGTGAAATGTTTAAAAAACTGTCTAAATTATTTAAAGGTTGGTTTGCCTGGCTCTTCGTGTATTGAGCAGTTTACGTAGTTATCTTTTTACTCGTTTTCGTTTTTTTTTTTTTTTTTTTTTTTTCTTTCTTTGGACTTGGAGCTTGAACATTGGACCACTGTTTACGCCTTGGTTTAATATTCTTGGTTCTTTATTTTTTTATTCCCCATTTTTCCTCGAGTACCGATTTGTTCTACTGCAAGTCGAGCTATCTGATGTTTTTTTCCAAACGATTACCACCTATTTGTATTATATATATATATATATATATATATATATATATATATATATATATATATATATATATATATATAATCGACTCTTCCGTCGAGATTCGACGTATGAGGATCAAGCACATCCATTACTCCACCGTGCCTCCTATATATATATATATATATATATATATATATATATATGAACATTATTTTTTGTTTAGATGCATTTAAATTGATCAAATTTTATTTCAGAGAACAATAAAATTAAATTTTGTTTGATTAAAACCCTGCCAACATGGAAGTACCCAAGAATCATTTGAGGCACATAATACTTTATGAGTTCAAGAAAGAAAACTCAGCAGCCGAAGCGGCTAAAAACATTCACTCAGTTTATGGAGAGGAATGTGTGAATGAAAGAACTTGCAGAAGATGGTTTGCATAATTCAGAGGTGGAGATTTCACCCTTGAAGATGAAGATCAAACCGGATGTCCAGTTGAGTTTGATGAAAAGCTTGAAGCAGCCATTGAAGAAAACCCTGCTTTATCAGTTGAGGAATTGGCAGTTGTTCTCAGTTCAAATCATACAACTGTTCATCGTCATCTTCAACAACTTGGAAAAGTTCCTAAACTTGGAAAATGGGTGCCTCATGAATTGTCTGAAAACAACCTCAAATCCCGAGTTGACATCTGCTCTTCTCTCCATTCTCGCCAACTTGTTTCACCTTTTTTGGGTAGACTTGTGACTGGCAACGAAAAATGGATCTTTTATCAAAATGTTAAGCGTCGTAGACAGTGGCTTGGTAAAGGGGAAGGACCCCAGCCACAGCCGAGAAGGGAACTTCATGGGCAAAAGGTTCTTCTTTCAATCTGGTGGGATCGCCAAGGAATAATCCACTTTGAATTCTTACCACCTAATGCAACAATTAATGCTAAAATATACTGTCAGCAATTAGAGCGTTTGAACCAAGCTTTGAGGAAAAAAGGCCTGCTCTAGTGAATCGAAAAGAGTTGATGTTTCATCAGGACAATGCGCGACCCCACACAGCAAGAATCACGTCACAAAAGATCGAAGAACTTGGTTGGGAGAAAATTCCTCATCCACCTTATTCTCCCGATCTTGCTCCTTCAGACTACCATTTGTTTTGTAGCTTACAGAATCATTTGGAAGAAACAGCTTTTGTGACACAGGAAGAGGTTAAAACTGATATTTGTGAGTTCTTCGAATCAAAGCCAAAAGAATTTTACAGTAATGGAATTAGTAAGCTTGTTAATAGATGGAAGGAAGTCATAGATAATCAGGGAAAATACATTGTTGATTGAATCTGTAATTTGGTCACTTGTTTTCTTTATTCAAAATTTGGACAGAACTTATGGGATGACCTGATATATTAGTCGGCTTTTTCCTCTAGAGAAAGGAAGTATGATGAGAAAGATTTTAAAAATCGGAATTTTCTGACAAGCTTTCGTCCTTTCTCAACGAAAAAATGAAATGAGACTTTTGGGGAAGTGGGGATTTTTTCCCCGCATGTGTTATATTATTGATGAGATCTCTTAGATTTCGGTTAGTTGCTTGCCATAATTAGGGGTGTAAAGGGTTTGTAAATGTCTTTTTGTGGAAACGGCATTCATTGTGTATGCCTAAGTTCCTATTTAAACCTAGCATTGGTTAATTTATTTTAAAAACGTATTTTACTCAAACTTTCTTGTTGTCATTTAAATGAAAACGTTAAAATATATATTTATATATATATGTATGTATATACAATGAAACAATAATAATCTCCAACGGATTCGATAGACAAGACACGTTGTGAGAATGTTGAGGGGATAATAGGATTCCCAAACATAAGGGGATTGAAGACCGGAAAACGTCCACAACACAAGCCTAGGAAGAGGTTTAAAAATAATCTGATTGCATGGATGTGTAGCATTGGGATAACTGTCTTTAAACCTTACAGAGTGGAGGCACTTTATTAGGGAAGAATACAAAGCCTTTGAGAATAAATAGCTCACGCATGCTCAGAAGCAGCACTCTAATATGCAGGCTTGGAAATGTTGGGTGTGTAAGCGCATGCTGTTGTCGAAGGCAGGTCGAATGGATAAAAGCGTTGGTTCGTGAATTTGGTGACATAGTGCTTATGGGTTCAATCCATGGGTCGGGCAGTTGTGTACTTGGATTCAGTGGAAACAAGCGAGCAATAACTGGCAGTAATAAAAGTAAAAATCAGACGATATCCCTAGGAACGAGAACAGATTAGATTAAATGATGTGTTCTGTTCAGAATTCGCTGTTATCCAGATCGATACATACCTGAGGAAAGCCGGAGAGCACAACAGACGAAACGGTGTGATGATAACAAAGATGGAGACGATAGTTCAAATATAGAAATAAATAAAATCAGTATCCTTCAAAAAATTAATTATCTCGTTTTTTACCAGTTTGGCATGCACGTTCACGTCATCTTTTCCCACCGTTTAAGTAATAAACGTCGCAAGAAACAAGGAAGAAATTGGACGAAAAAATATACGAAAACAAATATCTAAACAGGAAATTTCCATGTTGAATGTAAAGTTACATTGATCTTCAGATGCTTTGATCTATTCCTCCGTCCTTCTCTTCATCCTTTCTTTTGCTCCCACTTTCTGTAACCCCTTTCGTGCTAGTGGCACTCCCGTCTTGCTTGGGGTGAAATGCTTTAGAAAAAAATTAAAAAGATGCCTTGCTACAGAGTGAGTCCTTCATAGATTGATTGATTCTTATTTTTACGGCTTATCAATCTTTTGCAGCCAGAAACTATTTTTTATTGTTAATAATTTTTTGAAGATAATAATGATTTACTGATATGTCCTACTAATTAACCCATAGCTGGAGGGGAGAGAAGAAGTGGATTCTTACCTTTCCGAAGGGTATTTGCGCGTAAGTGTATATAACGAACCCAACTGGAATTGGAACTCGGTTCTCAGATTTCGAGCTGTTATCCCTTACTCTCCAAGCACGTACAAGCTCACAGCGCCTAGTATTCCCAAGCGGCCACCCATACAGGTACTGACCAGACTCAACGTTGCTTAACTTCGGCGATCAATTGAGAACTAGGGGTTTCAACGTGATATGATCGTAAGCCGAGTCCTTCATGAAATATCCAACCAACAGAGATGACAACTGGCGGGAAGTGAAGTATTAATTTTAGGCTGGGGTTATAGGTAGTAAAATGATTGGTATTTTCAGAATTGATGATATTGCCACAATAAATGCATAGAATTACTATAATTATTGAATAAAGTGTTTTTGGAGTGGTACAGCTCTCAACCGAAAAGGTTTTCACTTTACAGCCTCGTCCATCAATATAACGTTCCTTCACAATCTACAAAGCTGGGTACTGTTCATTTTGCCCCAAAATCTTTTCAGAGACACCATATTATTTCCTCTTTGCTACTTCAATTTATATATACACATATTTTTTTTTAATCATTTCACCCAAATCAAGGCAATAAAACCACTAAATCGCAAGGGGTTACTGAGTGTGAGAGAAAGGATAATAAAAGAACAGAGAAGGGGTTACTGAGTGTGAGTGAAAGAATAATAAAAGAACAGGGAAGGGGTTACTGAGTGTGAGTGAAAGGATAATAAAAGAACAGGGAAGGGGTTACTGAGTGTGAGTGAAAGGATAATAAAAGAACAGGGAAGGGGTTACTGAGTGTGAGTGAAAGGATAATAAAAGAACAGGAATTAAGAAGACAGGAGATAACCCTATGTATACACTCTCATACACATACACACAAATAAACAAACAATAGTACACACACACACACACACACACACACATATATATATATATATATATATATATATATATATAGGCCTACCCATTTTTGTGTATATGTTTATCCTTGTTCGTCTGGGTGCGTGGAATGTTGACTCTGTTCTCGCTTTCATTTTCTTTTTCTGTCTCTCAATCTCTATTTATCTCAATTACACATTATTTCAATCACTTTCTCTGACCCCCCGCCCCTCTCTTTCTCTCTCTCTCTCTCTCCCTCCTCTCTCTCTCTCTCTCTCTCTCTCTCTCTCTCTCTCTCTCTCTCATTCTTTCTTTCTCACTTCTTTTGTTCTGATTCTATTCACGGACAGTACCAAGCAAAAATTCTCCTCTCTCTCTCCCGAGATAAGTTCATGTTTCAGGTCAAAGGTTAAGACCAAGTCGTTTGTCTAAATACAGCGAATTCTTTGTTGACAACAAGGTATGCACACATATATACACAAATATACGCGCTTGTCTGTGTATTGACACACTAACACAAGCACACATATGCATTAGTGCATATAAGCACATACAATGTATGCACACAGCGAAACACTATATTCTACACATATACATATATAAACACACGCGCAAACGCACGCACACACACACACACACACACATATATATATATATATATATATATATATATATATATATATATATATATATATATATATATATATATATATCATCGGTCACACGACTACATGGGTCTCCAGACGCCTTACGTTACACCAATCCGACCACAGCTCTATTAGAACCCATTTAAAACACACAAAAACCTACCAGACTCAATCAGAAACATACTAGTAGAAAATACAAACATAATAACCTCAACTACATGTAAAAAAAGCCTTTTATAATAAAAAGAAAATAATAATATTAATTACGAACACGGTCACAATGTGCTGACTGGGTTCGGAAAATAAAATATCCCCATAGCTCTAGAAACATACACGCAGCCCATAAACCCACTTAAAAAGAAAAAATAAAATCATCCTTGATAATGGCTAAAAATATAACCGAAAGCGCTCGAAATTATAGAACATTTGGACAGTTTCTACAAACTCTGTGTCCAAAATAAAACACAAAAAAATTAAATAAAAAAGATTAATCGCAGTACCTTGTCTGTCGTCTTTAATGAAACATTTATAAACGAAGAATTAAATATATAAATATATATATATATATATATATATATATATATATATATATATATATATATATATATATATATACAAATGTTTAGAGGTACAAAATTTATATATAGTTTTAAAAACAAGGAATGTATTGATTTTAATTTTAAAGTCTCTAGGGCCCTTTCAGCCAACATCTCATCAGGAGACAATCGTTGGATCAACGAAAAGAATATTAACGACAAGGAAGAGCAAAAAGAGGGGGGAAACACACTAAAATAACAAACAAGTGTATATATTTGCAACGAGGGGGGGAATAATCTGTTGGGGGATATTTTATTTTAACTGTCTCTCGCTAATTTATTTACACGATTATTTCCTCTCCCCTCGTTACAAATATATACACTTGTTTGTTTTTTTAGTGTGTTTCCCCCCTCTTTTTGCTCTTCATTGTCGTTAATATTCTTTTCGTTGATCCAACGATTGTCTCCTGATGAGATGTTGGCTGAAAGGGCCCTAGAGACTTTTAAAATTAAAATCAATACATTCCTTGTTTTTAAAACTATATATATATATATATATATATATATGTGTGTGTGCGCGCGCGTGTGTGTGTGTGTATTCGGTGCATTTAATAAGGAATTTTTTGCAAGTATGGTTGAAGACCATAAAAATCATTTTATTTAATCATTTATTTCCCGTCTGGTTCGTACCATTTTTTGTAAGTGTCCGTTGAGAATTTGAACATAATTCGCTTCATGTCTTTTGACCGCTTTCGGCTTTCAGAAGGCATTTGAAAAATCCATTTTTTTTTCTTTAATTAATTAGGTTCTGCCCAGGGATATTCATTGTGATTCTAAGGTGATGTTCTCGGGTCGCGTCTTCAAGCATTAGTGGATATCGTTTTGTTTTTTTTTTTTCGTTGTTTTTTGTTTGGCTGTTTGTTTTTCAAGTATCGTGTCTTGACAAGCAAACTTTGCGGCATCCTTTTCATTTCAGTTATAAAATAATTTTGTTTATTTATGTAAGCTAAAATGAAAGAAATTTTACTAATGTTGGAATGCTTGTAATGTCATGCAGGCACACAAATATGAAATCGGCTTGATTAAAAAAAAACGCGTCACATGAAAACATTTTCCACTTTGTTATACATTCCCCCCCATATCGTTTCGCTCTAGCTGACTGCATTTACATTTTTCATTTTTTTATTTTTATTTATTTTTTTATTTTTTTTCGTTTTTTCCGTTTTTTAAATTTTTTATTTTCCTCCCCTCCCTCCTCCCTCCCTACCGAAAGGCATTTTGTCCCAGTGATGCTACTTATTTGATAATTTTTGATCCGAAATGTTAACAAAGTAAAAAACTAGAAAAATGGAAGATTGAATGTCTTTGACTAGATGCGAGGGTGTCTCGTCAGTATCCTAACGATGTTGTGACTGTATCTTTTTGCTTGATATATTGTCTGAAAGTGGAATTGTTTTTTCGCCATTCTATCTCCTCTTTTGAAATCTTATTGAAAGCATATCTCCCTAGCCCAGTACTTGGTGGGGGCCGAGAATTGGCCGATGATTCCTCCCCCACCACCACCAGGTCGACGCTTGGACACAAGGTAAAGCCGTATATTCAGTCATCATCATCATGACGACGCAGGCAGTTACCCACTTGAGTCAGGACTCCACACTCGGAGCCGTTCCTGGCTGGTTTCTGGTTATTTTTTGGACTTTTGCTGACAACTCGACCTTTTTGTGTGATTTTACCTGTTGCCCTTTTGAACTGCATTTTGTTTAAAGTTTGTTTATTTTATTTGTATTTTTACGACCTTATTGTAAAAGTTTTTGATTTTTTCTTTCTACTCTCCTTTTTTTTTTCACCCCCCCTTTAATTTTTACTCTTTATTCTGTTTATTCTAGTTTTCCTATTTTAATTTTTACTCCCTTTAATTTTTACTCGATTTCCTTTTAATCTAATTTGCTTTTTTGAATTTCTTTTTTTTCTCCTGTAATTTCCGCAGTTTTTCTTCTCATTTCTACCTTTTTTTTTTTTCATTCTAGTTTTCCGTGTTAATTGTCATTTTCTTTATTTTCGTCCTGTTCGTTATTCTGTGTTTCGCTGTAATTTCTTATTAATTTATTTATTTAATTGTTTTCATCCTTTTAATTTTTTACGTGTTTTTTGCTTGTAATCGTTTTAATCTATTTGTTTATTTTCTTTTGTTTATTGGTTCGACTCGCTTAGGGTCGGCCATTTTTATTTTTTGTGTCTAGCTTCGTCTGTCTTCGTTACGTATTTTTTTTTTTGTTTATTGACGTCGGCCATTTTTGATTTTTGTAACTAGCTTTGTGTTATTGTTTCGTAATTTTTTGTTGACGTCGGCCATTTTGATTTTATTTTAGCTTCGGCTTTTGTCGAAGTTTTTCTGTTTTTTTATTGTCTAACGTTTTTATTTTTATTGTTTGTCTTTTATTGTTTCGCCTTTAGGCGATATTTGTATACGTTTAAGTGAACCGTGTTTATTCCCTTAATGTAATTGTTTTTTGTTGAGTTTGTTTAGTTAATTTATTTCTTTTCCTCTCGCCCATAAATTTATTTCCCACCCCTCCCCCTTCCCCCCCCCCTTGTTTGTTTAAAAAAAATGGATAAGAAGGATAAAAAGTGCCTTCATTCTTAATTGTTAAAAGAAGCCTCAAAATTGCTTCTTTCAAAAGAAATATGAGGAAACACCCTTTAATCCCAAAAAAGACCCCCGGACAAAAATAATATGGAGGAATACCGGACCTGCCCAGAGTTCCTACAAATGAGGAAATAGTAGACACTTTAAGAAAAGCCTCCGAAAATATGGAGGCTGAAAAGAGCAATAACCAAGAAAAGGACAACGCATCTACAAATGCAGAGGCCGGGGAATCGCCCTCTTGTTGGTCGTCCCCACCGAAATGTATCATCAATCTTGCGGAGTTCTTGGAGCGTGCTAAGAGTTGCGTTCACCTTGTCGTAGAAGGTGGACTCTTAGAAGACCCCAGGAATTGAAGAAGATTGAGAAACGAATTGTGTCAGTTTTCGTCGTCGACAAGCGTACGCGCAAAATTTGTCGCTCGACGAAAAACATAGTGTTAAAATCACTAGAGTCCTTGGGATTTAAGCCCTAAGAATAGTTAAGGGCGCAAAGTTTTCATGTGGGACGTAC